TCCTGTTGTTACACAGGGGATGATGCCTTGGCCGCTCCTTAATAGGCCTCGCGGCGCCAGTATTGATCTGGTGTTTTACCACATCACTCCATCCTATGTCCTCATTACCACGGGAAAATACGTCCTGATACTCAATCAAACAAGCTTTCACCTCCTCATGATACTCCCCACCAATGTTGACTTTACACTGGTCATACAGATCATGCAGGCAGGTCTTCATAGACCTCACACTCATGGTTCTCACCAGGCAGGACTATGGAGTCAGCCTCAACCGCAGCAATTGTACCAACAGCTGTCCCCTTTCGGACAACATGTCTCTCCTCATTCGGATTAAATATCCGCAGCGGTAGAGACTTGGCGTTTGGCTCCACCAGCGACCGGGCTAAAACTAACCCTCGCCGAGCCAATTCGCCTCCACCTTCGACAGGTTCAACCAAGGCCGGCTGTCGCATTGCCTCACAGGAACTGGCTATAGTACCAGGCACAATAGCCTCATGGCCAGCTGGGATCTCGGTGGTTTCCGCCACCAATACTCGCCCGACAAACGGCTCACCAGCATAATAGGTACACCTTGATCACTCTCCATTCAGCCTCAACTCCAACCTTCCAAAATCTAAGTTACATCAGGTAGGTAACAGAAAGTCCATCCGTAATATACCCTCACACTTCATGTCGGCACAAAATACCCTAACCGGGTAAACCGTTATGCCTATTTGTATATCGACCCAAGCAGTACCCATTGTTACTAATGGACTGCCATCAACTTGCCGAATGCCGGCCTCTTCCGCTTCCAGCACAGGCCTTTGCTCCTTGGGAATTTTATGGTAAACAACACTACTGAGAAAAGTGTCTGTTGACCCTGAATCGACTAAGAACCGATACTTCACCCCTCTAACGACTCAATCGACAAACAGCCCACACCTTAGACAGGAAACAGACTTGGGCTGAGCACCTAGTGGCTTTCTGCCTTTTTCTGTCCTGCGCCTCTGGTTGGCTTCGTTTGCCCCTCGTTTGGGCCCACAGGAATGTCCAGCCTGCCCCTTTCTCTCTTTCCGAGGCTTGGTACATTCCTTGGCAAAATGACCAACCTCTTTACACCTGAAGCACTTCAACGCACAAGGCTTCCTTTTCTCTAGTTTTGGCGACAGCCTCGCTGGAGGCTTATCGTCACCCTGTCTCATCCCCTTACTCGTGAACTCAGTCAACATCTTGACCACCTGATCTATCTTCTTGGCTTGCTGCCCAGCACTCTCCTCCAACTTCTGCAAACGCTCTTCGGTGCCCGAGTCCACGGCCCTTGTGAATTTCGTCGGCTTCTCTACTCGCCTTTCACTCTCAACTTCCTCGAAATTCTCCGTCTCTATAGCTGCATGTATCGCCTCGTCCAGTGTCTTCGGACGGGCGCGATAAATGCCTTCCCGGACCGCCTGACTCGACACAGCATCCATGAAGTGATTTTTCCCCATGCGCTCACGTGCCCCTTCGGGAATCTCTGGGTAGGATTTCACCACCAACTCATGGACTGCCTGCCCCAGTTCTTGAAGACTCTCCTTCAACCCCTGACATCGGCTCCTTAAGTCCACGAGGTAGTTCTAAGCCTGTTGGCTGGGACTAAACCACCTGTTTAGAACCTAAACAAGTTCTTCAAACATGAACTTCTTGGACCCGTCGCCAAGAATGCGGAGAGCATCACCCTGGAGGCTAGCAGCCAAGAACTCGGTTGCCTGCTCCTCACTCCACTGATTCACCTTCCTACAAGCCTCAAAGTGGCGGTAGTACTCGTTCCACAGAACCTTACCGTTATACCGATCGGGGGTAATTGTAGGCCTTTGAAGCCTACCGCCGGGTGTACCATAACCCTCACTACCCACCAACCTAGACTCCCTTTTTAGTGGCCAAGGGCCAACTCCAGGTGAGTCCACCTTACCGACAACGTTGTCATTTTTCTCCACAGAAGGGCGAGTAAGAGAACTCAACAACTCACTGTGTAACCTCGCTCCTTCTCGGCGCAATCAACGTCACGGTTCAAAAACGGATTGGTGCTAGGACTACGCATGGGAATAGGCCTCACAAGCGTACTCTCAGCGTGCCTCTGCACTTCCTTCGAAGCCAATTCCAGCGATGTGCCAACGCAGGAACGCTCTCTTGCCTTCAAGTCATACCCCAGGGGACCCTTAGGCAATTTCCAGCTGATTTCAGAATCAACTTCAACCAGAGGTGTATCCCTACTCTTAGGGGTACCCTCACTCAGAGTTTTAGGCTGTGTACCTTTCTTGACAGCCTCCAACTCTGCGTCCAAACGGTCCCTCTCCCACTTTAACCACTGAACCCTATTCCTGAACAGTTCAGCTCGTCCAAAACAGAACCCTTGTCAGCCCCCATCGAGCTAACACCACTGTCCTTAACCACGCTCATACTGGAGTTCCCTCCTGAGCAGGGATATCAGTCTCAAATAGATACCGGTAACTCACAGGCAAACTCAGGCTGCGGGACTCCCATTCCCAAGCCTCCAGAATTTGCCAACTTTGTATACCTACTACCACCCGGTGAGTGCTCAACAGGATTGGCAGTTGCTGTCCTGCAGTACGTCGCAAGGATCGCAACTCCGCTCGAATCCCCACCAATGTCACCAACCCAATAAGGAATACAATGTACAAGGCAGTAACAACCCAGGTAAGCATAACCTGCCTACCTCGTTACAATTACCCTCGCTGTGCACCTCTGTGAGGCACATCCACTTCACAACAAATGACAAAAAAATTACTCTTTATTGGTAAACACAACTATAACAAAATCACAGAGTATCCCACTTCTGACACCATTTGTGGCGGGACAACTGACACCTTTTTGTGACGGACCAGCAGACTGGCCTGATCGGAGATAGAATTGACCTGGCCGGCCTAACCCCACAAATATATTTATTTAACCTTACGCAAGAATGAGCGGCTATCCAAACGCAAGGGGGGATATCAGTTAATGAACGGTGGACTATGCCTTAGGGGCTGTTCGTTTGGTGGAAGTTTACCACCACTCTGTGATTAGGTAATTGATTCCAATGCCAATAAAGATTACATTAAATGTCAATAAGTGATACAGGACTGACTAAATCTCACGGTGACTAGTAATTTCCACGGCAATTATATGATTTGTTTAGTCAATGTTAGTGCTCAGTTATCTGTTATATACAACAGCAATTAACTATATACAAAATTATCCTCACAGGGAGATAGTTCTCCGTGGTCAACTGCACCACGAACTTGATTAATAAGCCTTATCCTTAATGTAGACTATTTTCCAAGTTTAGTTGGCAATCTGGTTTATTGCATGCTAAGCAAGAACTTGGTACGCTGATTTGATGACTTGGACATGCATTTAAGAAGAAATTCAAGAAAAAACCCTCCCGGTATGTAGTTGCTGTCCCTCCCTTGAATATATGTGAGCTAACTGAATACTTCTGAACCCCCTAGGATGTATGATGATTGCTGATTTGAAACCCTGTTCCAAATTCTGTTAAATTGTATACACCGAGGCGCTAGCGCTAAGTGTGTCCTTTTGATGAAGCGCGCCCTCACGAGACGGCCGTGAAATCGCGGCACTGCTGCAAAACTTAACCTACACCAGAACAACCCTCACGGTGATCAGGGTAAACCTCACAGCGATCAGGATAACCCTCACAATAACCAGGTAACCCTCACAGTGATCAGGGTAACCCCCAAGACTGAATAAATAATCTACCGATGGCTTATAACTGATAAGTCTTTACCACACAAGCTAATACAATCTTCGTAATTATACAACACAACAGGGTAGACTTATACAACAATAATCTATACTGCTTTACGAAGCAACACAGTTCCCAAACTGCAACAAGGTTCAAGGTGACTTAAATAACCCTCATCCACTTCAAGTTATTAAGAAATAACACAGGTAATTTGATTAAGAAGGCGATTATAATAGTCCTCACCAGACTCTAACAGACACCTGCATCCAGTAAACCTCAACGCGGAAAGCAAGCTCCCAGCTAGACCAGGACCGCAACCAACCGTCGCTATGCCAACAAGCATGGAACAACGGCACACAATCCTTCTAGTCTAAGCTCCACTAATTCCCCAATTAACTGGTTCACACGGGTTCCCTAACCCTATAATCTACCATTTCTTAAATAAACGAGACTGTCTAACGATTCCCCAATCTTCAAAGAGATCCGATATAATCGGCAGCTCCGGCAAC